TCCCTCCTTCCTCCTTCCTCCTTCCTTACTCGCACACGCACGTACGCACGAAAAAATACAGACACACGCACGTACGCACGAAAAAATACAGACACACGCACACGCACACAAAGTCTATAGGTCACTCTGCACGCACACACCTACTTTATCTTCCTTCTCTCTATAGATTATTGATGTTTGGTTGACCAATAATCTGCATTTTCTTTATTATACATCTTCCCTAGTTGTGACTAAAGGCGAGCGAAAGAGAGAGAATGAAAAGGAGAGTAAGCATGGGGCAGAGAGAGAGAGAGAGAACGAAAAAGAACGAAACAATGAGCGAAGCAAGAAAGAGAGAGGGAGAGAAAGAGAAAGAGAAAGAGCGAGAGAGAGAGAGAAAGAAAGAGAGAGAGAGAGAGAGAGAGAGAGAGAGAGAGAGAGAGAGAGAGAGAGAGAGAGAGAGAGAGAGAGAGAGAGAGAGAGAGAGAGAGAGAGAACGAAAAAGAACGAAACAATGAGCGAAGCAAGAAAGAGAGAAGGAGAGGGAGAGAATGAGAAAGAGCGAGAGAGAGAGAGAGAGAGAGAGAGAGAGCAAGAGCAAGAGCAAGAGCAAGAGCAAGAGCAAGAGCAGGAGCAAGAGAAAGAGAGAGAGAGAGAAAGAGAGAAAGAGAGAGAGGCTCTTCTTCATCAGAGATTAAGAAGAGATTAAAATGTAATCACTTCCGTTCGCGGCGCACTAACGAGCACTCGGAGCTGCGCGGACGGGGGTCGTTGCAGCCGTTCGAGGGCGGGAGGGGGAGGGGGGAATGAGGGATGAGGGCGGGAGGTGGAGGGGGGAGGGGGTAGAATGAGGGATGAGGGTGAGGGAGTTGGGGAGAGGGAGGGAGAAGTAAGGAAGGGGGGAGAGAGAGAGGAGAGGAAGGAGGAGAGAAGTGGTAGAGAGAGAGAGGAGAGAATTGGTAGAGAGAGAGAGCGAGAGAGAGAGCGAGAGAGAGAGAGAGAGAGAGAGAGCGAGAACGAAAGAGAGAGAGCGAGAGAGAGAGAGCGAGAGAGAGAGAGAGAGAGAGAGAGAGAGAGAGAGAGAGAGAGAGAGAGAGAGAGAGAGAGAGCGAGAGAGAGAGAGCGAGAGAGAGAGAGCGAGAGAGAGAGAGCGAGAGAAAGGAGGAAAGGAGGAAGAAAAAAAAGAAGGAAAAGGCAAAGAGAAAAATAATAACCAGGGGCTAATTACGGTGCGAAAGAAAACGAGAGAAGCTGGCTAATCAGCTCGAGGGGTAGGGGGGGGAAGTGAAGGGGGGGGAAGGTGAAGGGTATGAGGAGAAAGAGAAAGATGAAGATGACAGTAGTTGGAGGAGTAGAACAAAGGGATAGGGAGGATAATAGGGAACCAAGAGAAGGAGGAAGCGAAGGATAAAAGGGGATAATGGAGAAGAAAGACAACCAGTAGAACTAGTAAAAAAAAAGAAAAAAGAAGTAGTAGCAACTTGGAGAGAAAAAAAGGGAAAAGGAAACGAAGAAAGAAAGAAAGAGAGAGAAAAAATAAAACTGAACAGCGTCGTAGACTCTCAACGGATGTTTGTGCAGGCTAGAAAAAAGGGAAAATGAAATGAAAGAAAGAAAGAAAGAAAGAGAGAAAATAAAACTGAAAAGCTTCGTAGACTCTCAGCGGACGTTTGTGCAGGCGAGATACACGCGGCGCACCGAGGGGCTCCCTCTCTTTGCTCTCCCACTAAATGTCATGGTTTTCTGGCCGCGGCGAAGGGACGGGGGGTAATTTGATGCGAAACGGTCGATATTGTTCGCTAAAATTATGCAGTGCGACTCTAGGATAGGCCTATGGGGTGCGCGATGCCCGTCCGCACAAGCTAAGTGGCACGTGTCCGTTTGATCACATTCTCTCTCTCTCTCTCTCTCTCTCTCTCTCTCTCTCTCTCTCTCTCTCTCTCTCTCTCTCTCTCTCTCTCTCTCTCTCTCTCTCTCTCTCTCTCTCTCTCGCACACGCACACGCACACATGCGCACACTGATGTATGCGTGCACACACGTATACATACACATATACGTAGACTTACACTGACACGTACACATACACATATACCTAGGCTTACACTGACACGTACACATACACGAACACGTACATGTATATGTACACGAACACGTATATGTATATGTACACGTAAACCTTCATGTACACTTGCTCACGCATACGTTCACGCTCACACACGTACCCCACCCCCTACACACACACACCGCCGATAATTCTTAATATTTTGTCTTTCATTTTATTATCGATATATTCGACTTGCCGTAGAGATCGCCGCCGTTTATGGAGCAGGTTCCGGTTCTGTGTTCGTTGTTCTGCGGCCTTGTTCTTCGCTGTTCTACGTTACTCTGTTGTTCTACGCTGTTCTATGGCCTTGTTCTGTTGCTCCACGTTGTTCTATGGCCTTGTTCTCTTGTTCTACGTTGTTCTATGCCCTTGTTCTTTGTTCAATGTTGTTTTAAGGCCTTATATTGTTCTGCGTT